AGCTATCTGAAAATATTTTTGCTATTAATATTATCTTTATTTGTAGAATATATGAAAAAAAAGGTTTATAATATCAAAATAAAAAAATTTTTAATAATAAAAAAATAAAAAATATATAAACAAAATATTATATTTAATATTATATTTAAAAATACTTATTAAAACAATAAATAAAATTAATATGATTGATTTATAATATAACAATCATATGTTTTAAATTATACAGTATATATAAATATAAATATAAATATAGTTAAATTTGTAAAAGCAATCAGATTTATCAAAAAAATAATAATGTATTTATCTAATTTTATTTCAATTACTTGAACAATTAATACTTTAATATCTTGTACATATTATATTTAAAATTAAAAATATTTATAAAATAATTTTAAAATAATTAAAAATATATATTAAATTTCAAATTATTTTATATATATTTATATAATTGATTAATATATATATTTTTTTAAAAATTTGATAAAAATATTATAAATAATTATTTAAAAAAAATCAATTGTAATCATAAAATTATTTATTATTAAAAAAAATAATTAAATTTTATTATAAATTTATAAAAAATTAAAATCAAATAAAAAATTTATAATTATTAATTTTAACTATAAAGATTTAAATATATTTAAATAATAAATTGAACTATAATATTTTTGAAAAATCAAGAATATATATAACAAGTTGTAAAAAAAAATCAATAAAATTATAATTATATATAAATTCAATATGAATAATATAATGAAATAAATCTATATTATATATTTTAATGGTTGTTAAAACTTGAAATAATAATTTAACAAAATATATTTAATTTAAACAATAATATAAATAGAAAAATAAAATAATAATAGAATAGTATAATAAATATAATAAATAGATAACATTTAGAATACATGATATAAATTAAAAAAAAAAAACTTTATTATAAAAATAAATAAATAATTTTTTAAAAAAATAACAAAAAGAATATTAAAATTTCATGTTTTTTATAAAACATAAAAAATACAGAATATAAACTACAATATATTTGTTATACAATATATATATGTATTTATAATTCATTATTATATACTGTATATTGTATTTTAAATGTGTAAAAAATGATTATAACATATGACTTTTTTTGTTTAATTTTTTAATTAAATTAATTTGTATTTGATTATAATTAAGATTTGAATTCAAAACAGTGGTGCTGAATGATTTAAGCAATATTTTTGTTTTGTTATGATTATATTGTGAATACGTTAAACAGATATGAGATATACAGCATATGTATTTTTAAAAAAGAACTCCGATTTAAGATTCGTGATTACGGTAATGCCGTACGTAAATATAATTAAATTAGGTTGGCGGGATGTCCGTTAAATATTTAAAATTTAAACCTAAATCTTTAATAAGCGTGCATTCATCGCTTATTAGATAGATTCATCGAATTTTAATTTTAATTTAATTTTTTCTTTTTATTTGTGTTCAAAACACTTGCCATATATGCGGCGTGCTGCATGCTATTTACAGTATTGAGTTTTATTGATAAATTGAAATAATCTCGATGAGTACAGTACATTATATACTCTCGATGAGTACAGTACGTTATATACTGTATATCTATTTTCAATTCATCGATTTTTTTACGTTGATTCTAATGATCTTAATCAATCGTTTTTTTCGTGAATGACGGACGAGCGTGGGTTTCCATTTAGGTTCGATCATTTGATAATCTTGATGAGCTCCCATTTCATGCCCTTAAAAAATCGAAAGCCGGCATCAAACCCAGATTACATGGAACGCGTGATTGTTGCATCATGAATATTGTCTAATTATGTATACGTTGCAAAATTAGCAGTTAATTATTTGCCACAATGTTGCCAATAGATTGATTAAAAAGGCAATCGTCGGTTAATAAATCGTCGGTTAATAAATTACCATACAACAAATAATGATCATAATAATTATTAGCAGAAGAATGATCAAATTAAGATTGATACATGCGTACACAAATACGCATAGATTTGTGTGTTTATTTGCAATGTGGTGCTTTTTTCGAATTAAAATCAGCCTCGCAAGCCTAGTTCAAATCGGAATCGATTTAATGTGAAGAAGAAACATGAATTAGACAATTAGACAATTTGCAAAGTTATTCGTGTGACATGTTTGAGCATAGCTTTGTAACATGCTAAAATCAACAAAATTCAATGAAGCGAAAAAGATGAACCAGTTTGTTGATACGGTATTTTGATTAATTAGAAATAATAATAACAATAATTTGCCGAATGATGAATGATCATTTTTGGAAATAATGACCGTTCCTTAGAAGGAATAGCAATTTGTGTCATGAAACCGAGGCACCAAGCAAGATGCGTTCACTTGGCGGAAAATAAGATCTTCAGCTATTTTTTTCATGTGAAACATTTGAAAATAAAAAGGTTCTATCAAATATTTGTTGATCAATAAATTCTGAATGATCCTACGGACGATTCGAAACATTCGAGTTTGCCGATTCGACTGTTTCCGAAAAAAAATATAGCTTTTTTTAGGATGACTGAAAATTCGAGAATGGCATATTTCTTTTAGAAAATCATTTTCCCGAAAACCTTTTAAGCCAAAAGCAATCAACAAATATGCATTTATTGAATAAAGATGTATTTTAGATGCAAGTACGTGCAGCACGTGTATTTAAAAGGCAATCGATCCATCTCTTTATGGAAGGAACGAATGCGTGCACAAGCTGGTATCACTTGCGTACCATCATCACAGAAAGACTTTAATTGTGTACTGGTTGAAAGAATTGATCGGAATTCAATGATATTGTTAATTTTCAGGCGAAAGAGGTCATATTTGCATGGCCATTTGAATAGGGGAGACCCACCAACGGTCATCCAAAGATCTGGCAAATTCATTTACACACACGGTCACGTTTTCTCAACGACTTAGATTAAAATTTATTCATGCAACGGGATACGTTAAAGAAACCGTGGAGCATCACCAATTAAAAGATTTTTCCTCTTGTTCTTTTCAAAAGAGAAAAAAGACGTGGAAGATTTTTTAAGAAACTTCATGCATGGATATGCGTAACGTAAACGTGACTACACCAATAACGATGACATTGTATCTATGAGTGTAACCATTACAAATTTGCCGAGAAATGGATCTCATCCCCACAAAAATTAATGCAAGATGTTTCATATTAAATTGACACACAAAATATATATCTATTTTTTAATTCAAATCGCACCAATTACCATAATTGCAACGAAAAAATCAATGAACCATGCCTTATATATTCTACCCTAATTTATCTTCATTATTTTTAGCAAAAATTTAATGATAACCCCGTGGATCATATATTTCTTAATCGGCGCGGAGGAAAAAATGGAAATGGACCTATTCCGACCTCTGTGTAACTTTCATTCCTTTCCTTTCGGTAATCTATTATTTCCGATACCTTTCATGGACAAATAAATTTGATGTTGCCACTTACGGAAATGTTGAATTTTTCATTTGAAATTTTATTTGTTTTATCTACGGCACATGCCTCGATTGCAGTTTGCAGATTGTCTGTGAATCGTGTCAATCGATGCACGAATGACTCACTGCGCACCGAAGAGAGGAAAAAAGAGGATATGATCAAACCATCTGACAAATAAGGATATTGGTTTTACCTCCATCCGCTCGTACGTAATAATTCTTTGTTACATAAGTGCATATTATTGCAGTTGCTCAACGAACACCTGAAGCTAGTCGTACAAATATGGTGCGCAATATGCCATATATGACAAGTGATTCTAAAAATGAACAATAATACTAGCCAATAAACCTATGGAATGTTATTCTAACAATCCCGAGAAAGGATAATAAGCGTAAGAACGATGAAAACAAAGATGCGAAGAAGTTCGCAAGGTCTATTACCCGGGTTTTGCGTTTTTTTTTTATTCACACTTGAGCGTGTATCTATCTACTTGTCACTCTCGTACTGAGTTTTTGTTGTCATCAGGATAAAAACCAGATAGGAATTGCATTATTAAACTTGGTCCGGGTACCATGTCCCGAGGTTCGTATACCAATTTTTTTCACGCTCGATTAAGAAATTCTTAAAAAGGGAATTGAATAATAAAAAATTTTTGACCACGTGGGACCTAATAAAGGTTTGGTGGTGGGTGTGACACTTAAGCAAGAAGCTCTTTGATGTATTGGTTAAGCTTGTTATTATTTAGTGTGCTTTATTATGATATATAAACAAATAATGATATATAAAGTACATACACTACACATACGACTAGGAAATGTGAATGAGGAACGAATAAAAAGATTGTGTCGACCCAATTTAGTGAAGGAAGGAAGGAATGATCGATTGTAGTCAGACCATTGCAACAAAAATATCCATCATTATTCTCTTCACACAATATACCCTATTATTATCAACTAATCCACTGTTTTGCTTTCACCGCATATGTCAAGTTTTTTTCGAACTGATGTCACGATGCTGCATCCTTGATCCTTTGTATGGCAATGATACTCCATGCCAATGCCAAATTTGGGTTGATTTTGCGTCAACTCTGATCGCAGTAAAAACAATCCATTATTTGTTTGATTTTTTCTTTTTTCACAAAGAAGAAAGGATAGTTGAATCGTAGAACAATCAAGAATGTCGTTGCGATACGAAAATTAATTTCAAGCACCGAGATGATTTGGTGGCAATAATTCGCGCATTAATACATCACCGATGTTTAATGCAATACACGTTGTATGTACATCGCACACAGGTCCTGTGCACCCGTGCATAGTAGATCTCTAATGCCTTGACCGAGGTTTTTATGGATCTTTGTGTCTTTGTATTGATATGGCAATTCCTTTGGGCGGGTATTATTATGTAATATTTAATATGTGTAAACTTAAAGGGAAGCAGGGATGAATGATGAATAGGAGAACGTGAATACTCTCACACTAAATGCAAATGATTTTCGGGGAAGGTGTTAATATTAATTCCATCAGCTGAGATCGGTGATCTTTTTGGCAATTCCACTAATTACGTACCTATGCTTCCCAAAGGCATATGCTTTAGGGCGGAATGACCCCACTGTAAGTAGCTTGTTAATTAGCCCCAAAAATATTATGTATTTCTGTCTTCATTATGTATTCGCTTGGACCATTCGGTGTCACCGACACAGGGTGCACAATAATTTCTTTGAAACCCCAAGTGTTTGAACTCTTTGGGGAGACTCACACATCTCATCAAGCTCCCTTCCTCCCTCCCTCCCTCCTTCCTTCCCTCCCTCCCTCCCATTCACGGTCATTCGTTTCTTTCTTTCTTTCTTTCTCTTACCTGATGATCGAAACGGTCTTGAATAATTGCCAACAAGTGACTTCCAGCCTCACTCCTTTCTAATCCTGATCTGATTCTAACATTTGCTTTTCAGGTTATTCAAGGAAAATCATGTCTCCCTCCGTCCAAACAAACTTTTTTCCGGACTTTCGGTGGTCATATTACAGTATCACGCAAAAAAAAAATAACGTCTCATATTTCGCCTAGCGTACAATCACCACGGGCTACTTAGATAATTAATTACGTACTATCATTATCATACACAGAATACACACCGGTATTATATTAGGTGCTTTCGTACCAATACTTATGTGCATATAAAATAAACATTTCCATAATAATACAATATCATCGCATCTACGTACGTACTTACATACGTACAATTTGCAACGTTTACTTACTTTAGGTGTTAGTCTTACCGTTACATATTTGAAAATATAAAAATACCTACATATAATTAATCTCTCTTTTCTTTCTCCTCTTTTTTTTTTTTTTTCCTCTTTCTCTCCAACGACTTTACCCCGAAAAAAAAAAAAAAATCCTAAAAAAAAAAAAAAGCTATTCATTATTTTTTTTTTTTTTCGAACGTCCGAGAAATCTAGGCTGGCACCTTCTTGTGATAATTATTGCTCATAATTCGATTTCCTTTTCTCGCATCAAGTTTTGTTTTTTTTTGACTTGTAGTTGCACGAGGGTTGTATATTATCTATCTATCATCATTCCTATTATACATATCTATTTTATTAAAAAAAAAAAACAAAAAAATTCTTCACTCACAAAGAATTCTATTCCTGCATCATTATTATTTCCAATTCCGCCGGTTTCCATCATCGATCCTTTTATTGTCATTGTATTCGCACTCGTACTCGTACTTACCTACTTCACCTTCTCCCCCAAAGAAAAAAAAAGTTGCACGTCCTATAAATCCCATATATATCTCAAATACAGTATACACACATATCTTATTAATTACATTGCACTCGGCATATCTATTGACTTGCATTCGGTTTATGCTTGCACTTGACACATAACATCTCGTCAACTATAACACTTACCACCCTGCAATAACATAATCCTCACAAGACCACGCACACGCGCGCACACACACAATCAACACAGCTTATCAGACTGACTCACAATGACTTCTGACGGAGGAAGTGCCGAAAAGACTTCGGTGCAAGTAGGTTAGTTGGTCAATCAATACCTTTATTTCTGTGCATTCATTTTTTCTCTTTCTTTCTCCGAGGGAGAGTTCGATAGCGCATTGGTCGATCCAAAGATTGATTAAAAAAAGGCTGGACGTAATAAACTAGAGTGTGTCGGCATCGATATTTCCTGACATAGGCGAATGAGGACCGTTTCACCTGTGTCATATCATGTCTCGAACTTTGCAATTGGTTTTTGACAAAGATAATTTAGTCGAGATCTGTCAAACGTGCTGGGTTATTGTATTTTATGACGAATGGTTCCTATGCAATATCACCAACACGTTATCACTGATGGATCTTGATATCATCCCATGAACACAATAACTAATATGCATTTCTCTTTAATCCTCTTTTCGCAATGAACAAATTAGCTGTCCGCATACGTCCAATCACCAATGAAGATCTTGCCAACTTGCCAACTAGATTTCAACGCTCGGTGTTATCGACCTCACCGCTAACGCCAAACCAGGTGGTGGTGGCAGGTGAAAAAAAGCAATCGTTTAATTTCGATCACGTTTTTGGCCCCGAGGCGTCGCAAAAAGAGATCTACGACAAGGCCGTGCTGAGGCTGATTGACAAATTTTTGGAGGGTGAGTCATTTATTCCCAAAGTTTCCGGATTTTCTGCTGTCAGTAACCGCTCATCACCTCTGCTTCTATCTTTCAGGTTATAATGTAACCATTCTGGCCTACGGTCAGACTTCATCTGGAAAAACGCACACCATGGGCACGGCCGACAATTCCTCTTTGCCCACTGATAGCAAGGGGATAATACCTCGTGCCATAAGTACTCTATTTGACGCCATGAATTCTCCACAATACAGATCAATCAATTTTTCGGTAAAAGTTTCCTTCGTCGAAATTTATAATGAAGACTTGATTGACTTGTTAGGTGAGGGTGAGGGCGAGAGTAGACCTCAGGTGACCATCAGGGAGGATTCGAAGGGGAACATCCTGTGGAGTGGACTGCAAGAAATGAAGGTTAATGGCGTGGATGAAGTTATCAGGTGAGTAATTCACGCCGGATGATTATGAGAAAATATGTTTATTAATTAATTGAGTCAATGACCACTTGATCTTAACAGTCACCTGTCACGCGGTTCACTGAATCGTCAAGTCGGAGCCACTGACATGAACTCCAAATCTTCAAGGTCTCACGCAATTTTCTCTGTAACAATGTCACAACAAAGATCGGCTCAGGCGCCTGGTGGTAGGAATGGTTCGATGTCCCCAACGCAAGAACCAAAAGGTCGACCATCATCAAGGTCAAATTCAAGGTTGAGCGTGGGCCGAAAGGCTGATGATGGTGGTGATTTGGTTTCGGTCACGAGCAAATTTCACTTTGTAGATTTGGCCGGTAGCGAAAGGGTGAGCGATTTGATTTTCGTGTTTTGACCGTGTGCGTTTCATTTCATTTCGTCCCATCTGTACACATATTTACTTGATGACGATAATCCGATTGTTTGTTTCATAGTTAAAAAGAACGGGAACTGTAGGTGATCGAGCGAAAGAAGGGATATCGATTAATTCCGGTCTGTTGGCATTGGGCAATGTGATCTCAGCACTGGGCGATCCCAACAAAGCAAAGCACACAACCCACATCCCATATCGTGATTCAAAACTCACGCGTTTACTACAAGATTCTCTCGGCGGCAATGCACAAACGTTAATGATTGCGTGTGTATCACCCGCAGAATTTAATCTTAACGAAACCGTGAACACTTTAAAATACGCGAATCGAGCTCGCAACATAAAAAATTCGGCCGTGGTAAACCAAGAAGAAGCCGGCTGGAACGATGTGGACCATTTGCAAAATTTGGTAATCAAATTGAGAAATGAGATCAAGACCATCAAAGCTGCTGAATCGATGGGATTGTCAAATGCTGGGCGTAGTGTTGGCGGGTCCGGGCGAACAACTCCGATGAGTCTAAGTGGACGTGATACTCCGAGCTATCTGCGAAGGCCATCGACGCCGGTTTCGGCGTACTCTAATGCGACTAATCAACCATCAGGTTCCCAGAATAATCATAAGGATGTGGATGCACTCGAGGAGCAATTGGCTCAGTTGCAGAGTTCCTACATTGCACTTTCGCAAAAGTATGCCAAGACCTCGGCAGAATTAGCGATGCATCAAGATAACTTCGATGAAATAAATGACACGCCTCCACTCGCAAAAGCTTCGAATGGTATCCCGCCAATAAAGCCAATGAAGGCGATAAAAGAGGAAGAAAATTTCCCTGATCAGTCTTCTCCGAGTTTTCAAGAAGCCGTGGAACCCGTGATCGAAGAATACGAGAAATCCATCTCAGCACTTGAGGGGAAGCTTGCTGCCACCCAAGCAGCACTGAGCCATTCAGACATCATGATACAAGAACAGGAATCTAAATTAGATAACGTTGAAAAAATTAACGAGCAGAATAAAGTATTGGTTAATGACCTTCGGAATGAAATCTCAAAACTCCACGAACGTGAATCAACTACAGAGCAGTATATTAGTGACCTGGAAACAAGGCTCGATAATCAAACAAAAGAACAAGTCAAGGATCACGATTTGATAATTAGCTTGAAATCAAGAATTACTCAAATGAAATTAAACGAATCGAATAACGAAGGATACATCCACGATCTCGAGACGAAGTTGGCCAAGAATGAGGAACAATTGACGGAACTCGCTACGACCATTGATAAACTGGAGAAAAAATTACAACAACGCGAGTTCGAGTATCAAGAATTGGAGAAGGTCTTTAAATTAAATAATTCCGATCAAGAGAAGCAACTATTACTAAAAGATATTGATGAAAGGGATAAACGAATAGGTCAACTCGAACAACAAGTGGAGTTGCTGCTTAATGAGTTAGAGGATTTAAAAAGGCTATCGGAGATTCATGACGAGGAAATCGATAATTTCCATAGTCGGGATGTCTCATCATTCTCCATCACTTCGGAAAGTTCCGGATCATCAATTCCGAGCTTGACGAATGGACGAGAGCGCTTGATAGTCGAAACTTTGGAAGCCAGATTGTCAGAATTACAAAAAACTCATGATATAACAGTGAATGACCTTAACGATATGAGGAGTAGATATCAGGAATGTCTGTCAAAAATTAACGAGCTCTACCTTAGACTTGCCGAATCCCAAAGCGAAGAACTCAAGAATTACACTCCTTCAACGCCGATGACACCGATATCGCCCACTAGTTCAGTCGACCGAATGTCCCTTCCGCCAACCCTCATTTATAGCGAGTTAAATAAGGAACTTTTGGGCAAAGCAAATGATGCATCAAGATTCATCTCACATCGAAAGTCGAAATCGCTTTCCAACGAGATCAAGGGTCAGGAGAAACGTGAGCTCGCCCACTTTGCCATAGTTCAAAGGCTCCAAAACGAGCTCAACCAACTTTCCTCATTGCACGATGACAAGGCACAAGGTTTAGAGGCTATAAAGCAAGAATTTGCTAGGTTGGAGATATGCTATCGAGAAGCATTGGAGGTTATTGAGGAGTTACGTGAGGAAATAAAGAAACGTGATGCCTTGGCTCAATTGGAAGTGATGTCCATGATAACCCCGTCGGAGCACAATATTGAATCCCATTCACCAATTTCAAGTGAAGTCGATCAACTTGAGGTTGTGCAAAGACTTCGTGAAGAGATCGAACAACTTAAAGAAGAACAACGAATGGTCATGGAAAATATTTCAGAACTTCAAATGGTCAATGATGAGACGAGCGATATCACTAGGATTGAATCAAGTATTAAGGAACTTCGCGAAGAATTGCGTGATGCTCACTCAAACTCTGAGAAGACGACAGGTGGATCGACCAATGATAATGCACGCGCGATCGAATTGGAATCACGAATAAAAGAATTAGAATTGCAATTGTCTAAGGCGCAAGAGGACCAACGACAACAGAAGATTTTAGAATCTACTTCTCGCCTCGAAGGTTTCAAACCTGTAGAGAATAAAAACTCAATTCAGACCGAGGAAGAGGATGAGAAGATGTCTGCTTTGAAACAGCAGGTCGAAAAACTTCAAACCAGCATTGAATCAAAGAGTCATACGATAGCTGCGCTTTTACTTCCTACGTCTGAACATCAGAATACCATCAGCCGCCTGGAAGATGAGCTGCAAGAAGTTAGAGAAGCGTATCGACTTGCGACAAAGGGTGAGTCGGTTGTAAAATTGGTTACAATCCCTGAGGCATCTGAGGGTGATGAAAACAAAGAGCGTTCGGTGCAATCCGATTACAACACTAATCATGCTACTTCGTCGGATAAACTTGAGCAAAATGTAGATGAAAATGTTAGAGCTCTGGAAGACCGAGTCAAAGATCTCGAAGGACAATTGGCGAAAGCAAAGGAGGCACAGCATATCCCGACACCTCGAAATTCGGTGCTTTACTTAGTGGACCCAACTCAAAAAATTTTCAACACATTACAAGCGAAACTATCTGCATTACAAGATTTTACCAGCAAATCTGGCGAAACTCAGGATCTAAAGACTGAACAAGAATTAATCACTTCACTGCAAACACATCTTGAAACTCTTAAGGTAGATATCAAACGAAAATATGAATTGATTGAGGTTTTAAAAAGGGAGCTGGTTGACAAAGGCATGTTGAAGCAAAAGTTGCGAGAGAAAGAATCAGAGGCCATCGTGATACAATCGCAACTCTTGCAATACAAAAGTCGAGAAGAAAGCATGAAAAAGGATATTACAGAGCTCCAGGCTCAATTAGAAAAACTGAAATCGGGCAAAGGTGCTGACGAATATGTGCAAAATGAGATTCAAGCGGTTAAGCAGGAGCTTAAACTAGTAAAGGAACGTGAATTGGTGGCGTTGGACCGAATAAAAACACTCGATGCGGAGATCGAGCGAATGAGACAAGTTGAGGTGACGCAAAAAGAAAGAATAGCTGTTTTGGAGTCTGGATTGGCTGAAAAAGGTTATGATGTTGATGATGATCTGATTAAATTGAGAACCGAATTGGCATTGGTTAAGGAAGCAGAAATTGTTAACGGTCGGACGATCACGGACCTCGAGAGAAGATTATCCGAATCGATCAATGTTAAAAATGTTCAAGAAGATTCCGAGGAATTGGCAATTATTAAGGGCGAACTTGAAGAATCAAAGGCCACCGATTCGATATTGCGAAAAGCTGTCGAAGAGCTGGAGCAAAAGCTTACTGTCGCCGAGAAACAATCTCATGATTTACAAATGAAGAGAGAAGAGGTCACATCGCTCAAAGATATAGAATTTAAACAAAACATCATGATCGAACAATTGAAATCACAAATACAAGAGACTAGTGATGAAAAGGAAGCAGCAATAAAGGAGGCACAAAATATCAAGGACGACTTTACTGCACAAAAAGAACTCGTGGTGGCTCTCGAATCGGAATTAGCCAACTTGAATGAAAGATGGTTGGAGGTCAAGAAACAAGACGAAGCCAGCAAGAAAGAACTCGAAAAATTAAGACAACAACGCGATCAACACGAGAAGAGGATCAAAGATTTGGAAGGTGAGATTGAATCATTGAAAGCATCAATTGAGGTCAATAATGGTGATGTCAGCTCTTTGAAAATTGAATTGGCGAATGCAAAACTTGAGATGAATGCTCGAAATCAATTGGTCTCTGAAATGGGAAATCAGATGATGTCCATTGAAAAGGAGCGTGATCAGCTCGCTGAACGTTTGGCTGAGCTGACAAACACTTTGGAAACGAAAGAATCGGAACGTGAAGAAGCCATTAAAACACTTGAGAGCAAGATCACAGACCTTAAATCACAGTTGGAAGAAGTTGGGAAATCATCGAAACTCGATAAAGAGACTATTGCTGATCTCAGTGGGCAACTTGCAATTGTTGAAGCTCAATTACGGGAAGCAAAAGAAGCAGAAGAACGGCACGCGAAACTAATTTCGGAACTCAAAGACAAATTATCAGAA